CCTCACCATATCTACTTACCGGGGCTGCCCTAGAAGGTAAGCATTTCAGCTTCAAATTGCTGTATTTTGAACGAGCATGCACTCACAGAACCAGTTGTTAAACCAGTTGCAGCCCACTACTGCATCAATTCTCCCTGCTAGCATATTCACATATTCACTACTAGTCTTGTAGAAGAAATCTAAAGCTATGATGTATTTTAAATATTCTTTTATGCCTTCTAATAGTCATTTAGGAAAATTGATTGTAAAAAAGAAAAATAAATGTAGCTAATTTATTTTATTTTTATTTATTTATTTTGTCAAGCGATTATAACAGGTATAAGTATAAACATAATTATGAATACATGAAATGGATACATATAAGAAAAATAAAAAGAAACAATAGGATAGGGATGGTAGGCACATTGGTGCGCTTATGCATGCCCCCTACAGACCTCTTAGGAAAGGGGTGAGGTCAATAGTAGACAGTCTAAGGTTGAAGTTTTTGGGGTTTGGGGAAGAAACCATAGAGTCAGATAGAGTATTCAAGACGTTGACCACTCTGTTGCTGAAGTCGTATTTCCTGCAATCAAGTTTGGTGCAGTTTACCTTGAGTTTGTATCTACTGTGTGCTCTTGCATTGTTATGGTTGAAACTGAAGTATTCATTGACAGGTAGGACATTGCAATATATAATTTTATGTATTATACTTAGATCGGACTGAAGACAGTGTAGTTCTAGGTTTTCTAGGTCTAGAATTTCAAGTCTGGTGGCATAAGGTATTCTGCAACAAGTAGAGGAGTGGAGAAATCGTCTTGTGAAATATTTCTGGACTTTCTCAACTGTATTAATATCAGATATGCAATGCGGGTTCCAGACTGGTGAGCTGTATTCAAGTATTGGTCTAGCAAATGTTTTGTATGCTCTAGTTAGTAGTGTGATATATTGCTGCATCCTTAATTTTAGAACCATATATACAGAATTTTCTCAAGTCTGCTGGGAATTCTGCATTTGCAGTTTTAAGTAATCTGGAATATGGCATATAGCGGAAGACTATTATAAACTAATAATAATTCATATTTGCCCAAAATCAATCTTTATAATGCCAACATAGAATTAACTATACACAAAATGCCCTTAACTGATCTTAAAAGACTAAAAGGGAGGGTATAAGACCTCATTAATACTTAATGTACATTTGTTTTATTTATCATATTTGTTGAGCTGCCCATCTCATATAGTAATTCCAAGTATTTGGGAGACTACTGAAACATGCTAGGACTGTACACTTGAATGAGAAGCTGAAAACACATTCTGGAAGTCAAATGACTTCTGCATTGCTGCCATGAAAATTACATGGATGTGTCCATGATATCACTAAGCTTCATGAAGGTTTTAACTTTTACATACAGGACAGAAATATCAGCAATTTCTCTACCGTTGAGTAAATGTGCCATCAATCCTTCCTTGTCTCAGCACAAAAATGATATAATAAAATTGCTAGTTGTATATTAAAATTGGTTACCTACAATGCCAATCCCAGATTTGATTGTATCCCTGTCAAATTGTATTGTTTTGATTTATGGGTGCTGGATGCTCTAGCCAACTTGACTTTTTTCGCTTTTGACACTGTTGCAGCCTTCCAAATGTCTCCAGCCCAGAGGAAAACATCCACCAAGTCAGGGCACATTAGCATTAAATGAGTAGGCTGATATTATTATATAATTTCAAGATTCCACTTGGGTTTCCACATCCCATGTCAATATCTCACAAGTTCAAACTAATGTTAAATAAAACATATTGTAAAAAGGCCTTCTCATCTCAAGCATTTTATGTACTGCTAAATGAACTGAGCCACTCCAACTAGATTTTAATTTGCCAATATAATCTGAAGCAAGGAAACATCAGGGGAGAAAGAGGAAGGAAATGTATGGCTGTTGGGCAACCAACTCTCCTAGAATAGCGGGGCAAAAGTTTGAGACTGACAACTAATAATGTGGTTAATTACAATAGTTATGCTGCTACGCATCTAAATTACTGCAACCTACTCTACATGGAACCCAGAAGTTTCTATTGTTCCAAAGCACAGCAGCCTAATTATTATCTGGCACTCACCTATGGTAACACATTACTCTTGTTCTACAGCAGGGGTGTCAAACTCAAGGCCCGTGGGCCAGATCCTGCCAGCCGGGTGCTTAAATCTGGCCCATGGGGTTAACCTGGAAATAGCAAAGGACCAACCCATGGTGCCTCTAGCAAAAACAGGACATGGGTGGCACCCTCATGACCCAATTTCAACCTGGATGGCCGCCTGCAGCATCCTGCCAGCCAAAATGGTGTGTGGGGGCGCACGTGACCCCATGCCCCATTTTGACCAGGTCATCCAGACCAAAAACGCCCCCCCCCATAGCCTGTTTTGGCTGGCAGGGTAGTGCAGGAAGCGTCCCCTCCCCACCCCCGGCTTAAGAGAGAACTACACTGCTGATCCGGTCCTCAAAGAAATCCAGTTTGACACCCCTTTTCTACAGGGTTTACATTGACTTCCCACTGGCTCTCAGCTACAATTTACAGTGCTGGTGTTAACCTGCAAAGCCCTTTACGGCCTGGAATCAAGTTACTTTCTTGCTGGGACAAACAGAAGAGGTGGTTGTCCATTTAGGAAGATGTGGGGAATTGAAAAACAGAAGCACTGCTTTTCTGTACCAGTGCTAGCCTCTGGAAGGCCTTCCACTAGAAGCGAATTTAGCCCAGACTTTGGCTGTCTTATGGAAATAAGATGGAGCTCTTCCACAATGCATTTGAGACTTTGTTTTGGGGATGTTATGATTTGCATGTTTGTATGATTTTAACTGGACCATGGATGTCTTAATATTCTTTATATTCCTGCAGAGCTGGCAAGACTCCTGTGGCATTGTAACAGCATATATAAATGTAATAAATATTAACGTTCAGAACACTAACCAAAGCACCTCTCAAAAGCAGTTACTATGAGTCTGCATGTGTTGTACTAAGTCGAACTGTGATCTTCCACAAGCAAGACATTCCCCAATATACAAATAAGAAATACATTAAAGAATATACAGTATAAAAGCATGATTTTGTTCCGCTGAAAATCCCAACTTGCTCCCAGTTGCCATTAGATTTCTGTCAAAGACATTCTTGATTAGCAAGTTATGAGACAGATACATTCAAGTGGCAAATATTTAATTCTGAATTAATTTTTATATTAAACTTAATTTTAAAGTCTTTCAGGGTGGAGATAATCCACAAATGATACCATAATCCTTACCTCATTCATAAAAGAATATGAATTCCCATGTTCTTTAGCATGAAAACAAGTGTACAGCATGTATTTGAGTGGTCCCAGCATTTTCTAAATATTCTCAACTGCAAAAAGTTTGAGAAACAATGACTTAAATGAACATATAACTGAAATGTAAGTCCCATAAAAATGGAAAAGAAATACTTTCAAGTACAGTATAGAATTACAGCCTGTTGAAATCTATTTAGGCTGAAACTTTTATTTAAAGGCAATGTTAGTATTAACTATGCCTATATACAAAATAAGATAAAGATTACACAATTCTCACTTGTTAGCAATCCTATATTGGAGAAATGCAATTTTCATCCAATAAACATTTACCTTTCTTTTTAAAAATAGAAAGTTCAGAAATACTTCTGGTTGTTACTCACAGGTTCTCATTTGAATTCTTATTTTGTAGTAATTTGAGTAAACAATAAATACGGCTACAAAGGGTAAATGTGACTTTTTAAATTGTAATACACTACTATACCTTAATTCATAGTAAATGTTTACTCTTGTTTTTAATTATATATATGGGGAAGGGCAAGTAGTATAATTTTATTTTTACCCTGATTTCTTTGTAAGTTCCTTTGATCATTAATCTGCCTTTTCTTGTTACATATATTACAAGGCAGTAAACAACACAGAAATTGTTATTTTAATTTTTTTCTGTTGAACCTCTTCAGAGTTCTATAGAAAAAAAAGTTTCTATTAGCGTGCCTTTGGCACGCTAATCTTTTTAAAAAAATTAAGTTGAGCCCATTGAATTGACAACATAAGAGAATGTCAACAGAAAATCCATACAATGCACATAATATTGGAGTTAAGCTACAGGGATTATCTTTAAACCAACTTGAAAATAAGTTTGTCTGAAAACATGTTTGTATTTACTCTCAAGTGAGGGAGTAAGACTACAAGCACAAATCACTTCACAACGAATATTTTCAAATGGGGTGGGGGAGAAGGGAGGCTTATCAGGGTTTATGTTAAAGCCAGCCTCTTTTTTTTTTCCTCCTCTCCGTCTTTACTTTTCCATGTGGAAAAGGTTATCAGACAAGGCAGGCGAAGAGGCTGCTCCCTTTTGGCGGAGCTATGCACAGATTCTGACAATGTAATACGCAAGAATTTTAGGCTAACGTGATACATAGCCTCGGCTTGCACTGAAGCTCAATAAGGAAACCGGACACAAACAAGCACGCATATTACACACACACACACACATAACACGCGACCAGGTCAAAAGTTGACTGCCTCGCCAGCTTCCCTCCGGATCCTTTTTTGTTGCGTCCTGGCAGAGCTGATTTTCCGCCCAAGGTAACAAACAGCGTGAGTAGGCGCCGGAGGGGGAATTAGGTGGGGATCGTCGTGTCCGTTCCTGCTGGCTAAAGGTCCGGGCCGGATTTTGCACCTTGTCCCCGGGACTGCCTCACGGCCTGGACGAGCTGGAGCTGCTGCGGCTGTGTTTATTGAGCGCTCTTGTCCTGGTATCACTCCGCTGGCATGGACGAGGAGGAGGCGGACGAGGTGGAAGAGTAACGCACTTGATCCCTGTGGTGGTGATGGCAGAGGAGAAGCAGCGGGCAGAGCGGAGCCCGAGCGGGTCCCTCTGCGTGTAGCAGCGCCGCGGACGCTCTGCCAGCCCTTCAGCCGGCTACCTTTACAGATCGCCCCGGATTGTTCACGTGTTGATTTCCCCCAGCCGGAGGATTTGCTTTTTTAGGTTCCTGTTGAAAAATACAACTGAGCAGCCAAAGTACTTTGAGAACACGGTGCGGCATAAACACCCAAACTTTTTTTCCCTCCCTTTTCTTCCCCCCTCCCCCCGGAAAGAAAACACAATTAAGCAAGCGGCGTTGCCTGTCTTCGGCTGATGTGAGGTGTGAATGCGTTGTGGGTCGTACATGTGTGTTCCTTGACCAGTGGGTGCCCGTCCTAGGCATTTTGTGAACGTGTGGAGTGCGAGTGCGGAAAGACTCTCTACACAAGGCTTTGGGGGACATCTTCCCCCCCCTCCCGCTTTTATGTTTTAATACATGGGGGAGACCTAGAAGGTTTTCGGTCCGGAATTTCTTTCGGAAGGATGGATTCTTCCAAAGGGAAGCAGCTCTGAGCTCTCCTCCTTGGAGTTTGTAAGCGAGCGGCGGCGGCTGCCTTGTTTGTTGATTGTGGCTGGCGATAACCTTACAGCACCACCTCCGGGTTTGGGCTTTCTGCTTTTGGCGTGTTTTTTTTTTTTACTCCTCCTTCCCTCCCATCCGAGGGGATCGGCAAGAAACAGCTTTTGCTTCGTTGTTTACAAGCCCCCAACATTTTTGCTCGGGTCTGTTAGCGTTTGCATGGCCCACTAAAGACTATCCCAAAAGGAGGATTCCCCCTCCTTCGGCCTTTCTGCCTGCTGTGTGGCGGCCGCGTGTAAAAGGAGAGGAGGGAAAAGTTCTTCCAAAATAGTGTGCGCAGGGAAGGGGATGGGGGATTTTCCAACCCCCGCTGCCGCCACCAACGGCAGCAGCATTTGCCTCAACAATAACCTGAGCAGCAGCCTCGGCGGGGCCGGGATCGGCGTGAACAGCGCTCCCCACGGGCCTCCTCCCGGTCACAATGCTACTCATAGCGGCGGCGGCATTCCCAAACACAGCACCGTGGTGGAAAGGCTCAGGCAGCGCATCGAAGGCTGCCGGAGACATCATGTCAGCTGCGAGAACAGGTACCAGCAAGCCCAGGCCGAGCAGCTGGAGCTGGAGCGAAGGGACACGGTGAGCCTTTACCAGAGGACCCTGGAGCAAAGGGCCAAGAAATCGAGCGCCGGCGGTGGCAGCAAGCAAGCACATTCGAGCAAACAGCCACAAGATGCCGAGCCTGCTACAGCCGAGCAGAGGAATCACACACTGATCATGGTAAGGGGGCGGGCGAGGGGGGCTGGGGGCGGCTGCGGAGCCCTTGTGGGCAGGCGCTCGCTCACTTAGCGCTCGCTTCTCGCCTGAACGGATGTAGGAGTTTGGGAGGGGAGCAAGCGAGGGATGCTTGGCTGAAACCGGGGAATGGGCGGGGAGAGGAAACTTTGGTCCTATAACTAATAAGGGAATCCAGGAAGCAACACGGACCGTTTGAAGAAGAGTTGAAAGCTCCGCATGGCGGAGGCGGCCGGCTCAGCCAACCGCGCTCCCTTTCTGCCCACTCCTGACCGGTTTCTGAAACACTGCGTGGAAGGCATGGGCTCTCGCACACCCCGAGTCGCCTGCCCGCCCAACTCCTCGTTCCTTAAGGCTACCGGACAATATAGAGAGGGGCACTTGCTTGGTGATTCGCATTTGGGAAGAGCCGCCTCCAGGGTCCGAGCTTGGGAGGGTTCGGGGCGTCTTCGGACGGTCTAAAGCGGTTGAGGGAAGCCGGAGAAAGGCAAGGCAAGGGACACAGGCGCCCGTGGGGACGCGTTTAGAAGAATGAAGGCGGGGGCGGAGGAAGTGAGGAGGGGAAAGACTCGTTGCCTCTTTAAATCCCGCGGAGGGCGATCTTGTGGGCTGGCTCTGCCGAGAGGGAGTGTCAGCTCTCGGAAGAAAAGTTGGGCAGGCTCTTCCTCGACCGGCAGCGCGTGAGAGTGTGGGTGGGGAAGCAGCCAGCAGCCACCTCGGCTGGATTACAAAACAAAAACAAAAGGCGAAAGTTTTCTTGGTTTTTTAAAACAGCGCTCTCCAACCTTCGCAACTTTAAGCCTGAAGGACTTCAACCCCCAGAGTTCCCCAGCCAGTAAAACTTCTGGGGAATTCTGGGAGTTGAAGTCCGCCAGGCTTAAAGTTGCCAAGGTTGGAGAGCGCTGTTTTAAAAGCCTCGGAAGGGAAGAGCAAAGGGGCGGCAGTTCGTCTGTTGGTGGCGTAATGACTCCGACCCGCCAGTGGCGCTTCCCAAGACTCGCCGCTAAAACGCGCTCATTATAGAGGGCGGGCTGCGGGTAACGTCAGGAGCTAATGAGCTTGTGGGAAAACAGAAGTGCACCCTGGTTAAGCTTTTATTGAATTACCTTTCAAGAAGAATCGTTTCGTGCTAGCTGCTCTGGCTAAATCGGTTAGCCTCCTTTCCCCACCCGCCCTTCAAATCTAGGAGTTTGCTCGTGTACATGTTTCTTGGGAATAAATCTGTCAGAGTACTTGTGCAGGGTTAGCGGTATTAACCTACTACGAGGCCATATCGGGCAGGAAGGTTAATACCGTTACCCCTGCGCAAGTCCGCTGCACTCGGAGTTAAGCCCTACGATGTTCACTGAGATGTACTCCCAAGAAACATGTACAAGAGTAAAATCTTAGGTTGTAGAGGCCGGGCGGAGGGCGAATTTGAGGCTAGTTTGTGTTAATGGATCTGTTCTTGTTAATGCTATTTTCCAGTTGTAGAGTCGAATAAGGATAGCACAGTTGGGAAGAAAAGATTTTGAAATCTTGCGCTTGCAATGCACAGAGATTGTGTACGCTGGAGGCGTATTACCGGGCCGCAAGCACCAGTTTGGTGGAGGGAGGCGTTGTTTCTTTAGTTGGCAGCCGCACTTTCAGGCTTATTTACTCAAGTCCTTTAAATGTGCATAACTGGACGAGGAGGGATTGCGGCGTGAAAGACTTCTGCGTCTTACCAAAATTATTAAAACCTGTATCCGACCCTCATCTTCAAGCATGCAAGCAGAAACACAATCACTCGAGAGTAACTAACGGGACTTGCCTACTCCTCGGATCATGTCGCTATAGGGTTGCAAACGCTCGGCCGAATTGATCGGAGGTTCGGACCTCCTCTTGCGCAAGGCCACATAAAGCACGTGCTCATTTGTAAAAGAGAAGAGCAGCAGCAGGTTCACGGTTCATTGGCTTTCTTCTTCTTCTTCCTACGGCTGCTACGAGAATCGGGAGCTGCCGGGAGACAGTTGAAGCATCCCCCGCCCTTGTGCAGTCCTCCCCTCCGAAGGCCACCCCACCAGCTGGCGTCTGCCTGACAAAGCCGCCACGCCTCCCCTCCCCCTCCTTCCTTTTAAGGCGGGGGTGGAAGACCCCGAAGGCGCGGATTGGCGAGGGGCTTAGCCGCAGAGCGGCAGCCCGAAAACTTGATGGGTGTTGCGGCGACGAGAGAATGTGGGCGGGTGGCGAGAGAAAGGAACTGAGGTCCTCGCCTTGCTCGAGGCAGCGGCGGCAGCGGCTCCTCCCACGACGGGAAAGGAACAATTTGTTGACTTGAACGGTCTTGTTGGTTCGCGCTGCGCGCGCGCGCCTTTCTTGTGCTTGGGGCCCGCCTCTTTCCCTCCCGCCGCCGTGAGAAAGGTCGGCTCCAGGCGGGGGTCGCCGTCCTCTCTACGCCACCCGCCGCTTTGTCTTCCCGGCGCTGATCCTTAAGCCTTCTCTAAGCCTTCGCCGGGGGCTCCTTTAACTGGGTTGCAACCTTTATTCCCTTCGGCCATGTCTTAAATAAGGAGAGTCCTAACGAATTTGGGAAACCTCGGCTTGGAGAAAGAACTTAACGCTCCGGAAATAGCGCTCCTCCCACCCTCTCTCTCTCTCTCTCCAGGCCTGTGTCGAGACAATAAACTCCACTAAACTCTGTGGGCGGGCGCGTGAAATAGGAGAGAGGGGGAGGCCACCCTTGACGGAGGCAGCGCCGGGGAGTTTTCCAGCCCTGCAAAGAAAGGGCGAGACAGGCAGGGGATGCGCCCTTAGCCCCACGCGCGTGTTGCGCACGCTCCGCTGTTGCCCTCGATCAGGCGAGCGAATAGCCTTGCGAAGAAAGGCGGGAAGGGAAGGAAAAGGCGCGCAGATGGGGGGAAGGGGAAAAGACTACGCAGGAGCGAAGCGATGGGGGGGGGGGGGGTCGGAGAAAGGCGAAGTCGAAAGGGAGGCCCTTGTTTCGCTGACAGGAAACTGGAGGCTTGGCATGCATGCCGTTGGCTTAGGCCGGTCAGAAGCAGAGGTGTTTGAGCAGCCTTTTGTTCGGTAATCAGGTTGGCGTTGAGTCCTCGAGCTGTTTTCCCCCACCTTGCTCCCCAATGGGGTTTGCATTTGCAGCACTTAAGTAGTGGTCCCATGCAAACGATCTTCACATTCCCCCATTTCCTTTCCCTTTTAAAATCGCTGCCCCACCAGTTTAACGGCTGGGTGTTTCCCATCAGGGGAAGTGGGACGGTACAGCTCTGCTGAATCTCATTACCATCATAAAGAGATCAGTTGCTTGAATGTGCCCTCTGGAGTAGCTTTCTCCAACAAATCTTAAAGCTGCTGGTGTAATATCCGTTTTGATTAAAATATGGATATTACTTTAGTTTCGATATTTTCCACTAGAAATTCATTCACTATTGATCGCATTTGCTTTTTTCCCAAATAGGAGCAACAAAATTTCGATAACTTTTTCCACACAAAACAATGATATTCTTGTTAAAGATGCAATTTTGCAGTTATGGTTGCTTCACCTGTGTTGAGTTAGAATTCAAGGCTTAGAAGAGGACTCTTTATGTCGAGGCCATTGTTTTTCAGTAGCCATATTTATTTCATGTATCTATTTGTATCCCACCTTTATTATTTTATAAAGAAGTCAAGGTCAGCATACCCAACATATCCTCCTATTTTCCCCATAACAAGGTGGGCTGGGCTGACATACTGACCCAAAGTCACACAGCTGGGCTTTTATATTAAGGCAGGACTTGAACTCAAGGTCTCCTGCTTTCTAGCCTTGTGCATTAATCACTAGATCAAACTGGGTCTCAAACCATGCTGGAATATGATTTCTAAAAAATAATGTTATTACATATTTAAGATTTCCCCTTTATGAAATTAAAATTATAATCTGATGGCAGCATTGAAGTGGTTCTGAGGACTCTTTCCAAGGCATTCATATAAGGGACCATTGACTTAGGTTAGTAATGTGAATCCAATCCAGTCTGCTTTGCTGCTTATGGTGCATACTTGGGCATATTTGTATTAAGATATTTCCCTTCATTATAATTCATTATTATGAATGCTGTTTTCAGTAGTGGTAAAAGAGAGCTTCCGGTAGTCAGGAGAGGAGTGCTATAGTTCTTATTGATAATCTAGTCAAGATTTATATTTCTTTTTGAGATTTTTTTTTTTTGCAGCAGATAGAAAATTTGTTTTTTTAAAAAATAATAGGAAGATGCCAGAGATTGTATGACGTCTTCTGCACTACTTTTAAATCCAGTTTGCATGGGATTTTCAGAAAAAAGAAATGTTGTTTGGCCTCCTTTTGCTTATCAGTGACAGATAAATAGTCCAGATACATCTTCCTACTTGATACATTGGTTTGGATTAACTTTTTGAATTAGCAGAATTAATAGAATACATACTTTGTGAAAATATAAAGAATAAAATAAACACACACACACACACACACACATATCTTATTGCCATTCCTTAATAGCAGAAATTGCATATTTACTTTGAAAGACTTCAGAGAGACTTGCGCTCATAGTCATTATTAGATTTATATCCTGTCTTTTCTTGGGTGATTCAATGCAGCATCCATGACATGCCAGACTGTCAACGCAACAGAAAAGTAGGTGGACCTGAGACAGTGAGTTTCTGTGGCTGAGGGTGGACAAGTATACATCCACAGTCATAGTACAAGAAATAAACCAGTGTACCATCAGTGAGGACAGTGGCATGTTTTTTTTTCCTTTTTGTGTTACTGATAGAGAAACATTGGAAACTCACGGGGGAAAAAAGTAAATACGAAGAACTTCAGAAATACTTTGCAATTCTGAGTGGGGTAACAGGTTGCTATAAGGATAAGATTTCTCATATGTGGCAGTTTTGATCTAGAGTACAGCCTAGTTCACCCTTGGAAACAAATAGTTCCAATCCATTTAGGTGTTAATTTTATCTAATCAAAATGCTCGCTCTCATGGTAGAAGAATAGG